ACTCTTATTTCTGCAATTTAGATAATTACTGCACACTAGTAAGTGACTACAGTGCTCCTCAGACGCTGAAAGCAACCTCTGGATCTGTCACGCTGTCTTTAAATAGGCAATTAAAGTGAAAAATGAGAGCCTGCATAACTTTCCAGTGCCACATATTATATATAAATAATACAACACAAATAAGAACAGGACAGAAGTTCTCAAACCAAACACTTGATCAACTTAGTCATGCCTTCATCTGTTTATTTGAAAATATATTACTTTGCTACACTTGTGGTCCTTATTACAGTAAATTTACTGCCTTAAGAAGAGATTTCCCTTGCCAGAAATTAAAAAGACTTTCCATTCCTCTGCTCCCAAAATAATCTTTATTAACCAAGGTTGGATGGTAGCAAACTTGCTAGGATATCCACGAGGCAGCAGACAGATGCAAACAACTGGTATGTTCCTTTGTTCCTCAGTGGGACAATCTGGTTGACCAGAACTTGCCTGAGGTTGTCCCAAAGCTTGCTTTTTTGCTTTACACCAATTTATAGTACTTTTAACCAAGTGCCGAATTTGTGAAATTCTTTACTTAAATAAAAGAATCATTTACTGTGTTCTCAGTGAGAAGCTGATGGCCTGTGACAAACAATATCAGAGATCCCTTCCTGTGCTTACAAGATGTGAGAGCTCTCTGTGTGCCATCCTGTATTCTCATCACTTTCACAAACCCCCTCACTCTGTCAAGCCAGCACAACCAGCACTCTCAGCAGAGAAATTCAAGCTGTGGCCTTTTCTGGTCCCATTAGAAGCAGTGCAAACAGAGGTACAGCCCAGTTCACATGGGGCTCCCCAGACACCCAGCACAGCTGAACAGGCCACCAGCTACAGTCTGCAGTTGCCTCTGGCAGAAGAGATGGCACCTATCAACCAGTTTTTAAGCCATCTCTCATGCACCCACACCTCCAAAAACCCAACTAAAACTCCAGCAGCAATATGAAGCAGGGAGCTGTGTAGGAGGATATAACCATAATACATGAAGAGAATATTACTTGTGCACTGTGATTGCAGAAATCCTCATAATATTCTCATTAGCTCATATCTCAATATAAAAAGTAATGCTGTAAATCAGATACTTAATTTCTATTCAAACGGAACATAATTGCTGGTAACTGGCTGCAGAGCTACAAATGTCAAAAAGACGCCTTGTGATATTTCAGATGCAGTGAATGGCAAGTACACTTCATGTGCCATGATGCCTTTCCACCTGTTATGTTAATTAGTTTTTATTTGAAACATACTGCTGCAACCAATGCAACAATTAATGGTTACTTTTAATAGGTAAAATTCCCATTAATCAAATCAACAGGAGATCAGCAGAGTGCTAGAAAGGTCTCATGGAGAAAAAGAAAAAAGAGAGTCTGCTGCTACTTTTACTTTTTAAATTGAGATGCATTATATTTTTAAGCATCTGGAATGTTAACATCTTGACTGAAACTTCTAAGTGCAAATATACTTAATGAAGCTTGAAATAGAGAAAAATTAGAATGCCATTTTCATGGAATTTCCCAACATTTGAGTGAAATAAAATAATCTCATGAGGTGCTGCTGGAGAGTGTTAAAATAGAAAGTCCATCCACACTTAACAGTCAAGCACATAGGACATAATATATATTGTAAGTAATCTCTCAAATGATCCCATTTCAATAACGAAATGAGTATTTTAATTCCTTACCACACTATAATGTTTCTTTTGTCTGAGAGTATTAAAACCTCATACACTGTGGAAAGGCACTCACTTTAGATTCACACAAATTGGGGAAGGTCCCCAAAATTAAGAGGGATATTATTCTATACTGAAACAATGATAAAACTACCTAATGGCATGTAGCACTGCCCCAACACACCCCAACATGATGGTCTTTTTAACCACTGCATTATGCCCTGTCTACACTCAGTGCACCAGTGGTTACACCACAGCTATGTTAACAGAGCCTTCTAACGGGGACACAAGAGGACATCAAAAGGACTTCCCTTGTTGACATAATTGTATCACCTCCCCAGACGACACACAGGGCCAATAAAAACCACTCTGCCCACATGGCTGCGATCCCCCCAGACGCTGTGATCCCCCCAGACACAAGCTGGTGTGAGGATGCCTGTCAGTGAAAACGTGTTTCTTGTACTGTGCTGACAGACTGGAGAGAAAGGAGGAAAAGGGTTGGAAGGTGCTTCCCAGTACAGACTCAGCCCTGCACACAGATTTTTTAGGTGTTCAGTCAAAACCCTCCATTTCCAAAATTCACACATTTCTCCACTCTCTAAAGTCATACACATCATTACCCATTACATTCAGAAGCCAACTTAAAAGAAAAATGAGGAACATTCGTTTTGCATTCAGCATTTTGCCAAAATTATGAGCAAATAATTTTTGGAGTTGGCACTGGATTGACTGGGAGTTTAGAGAGTTTCTACCCAGGCCTGGCTTGGGTAAATCCATTGGGAGGTTTGGTCTTTTTTGGGCAAAACTTGGTAACTACTACTAGAAAAGCAATCTTTACATAAACCACAAGTCTGTGCTTTTTCAAATCAAGCATGTGAGGTGAGTACATGCTTAAATCCATAATCTAGGATAAACAGTTTTGCATAAAGCAAGTAATTATTTCAAAACAGCCAGTTTTCCTGTTAAAAAAAAATGGAGAATTTACAGGTTTGTGTTTTGCTTTTTTATTACTCAAATACTCAAACCCTTGTTCTCATCTAGTTCTACTAATGAAAATCTGACTAAACATTCCAAAACAAATAAAACCCAGCATTACTTTAAATAAAAGTTCAAAATATATATCCTGACAGTTCCGATGTTTGAGGGGTTTAGTTCCCAAAGTAGTAATGATCTCCAGGAGTTAAAATAATATGATTATATCCCAACTCCATGGCCAGCTAAACCACAACTGAACTGCAGTGGCACATATTTCATTTTCAATGTCAGAAGATCTCCATTTCAGACTATCAACATAGCACTAAATTTTCAAATGTCACTGAAAACAGGTCACTTCTAATTTTGCCTGGAAATGCTAAATGAACCACTATACACAGTGCAGCTAGTATTTCACAAGTTAAATCTCTTCATCTTTACCAGGAATCAAAAAGGAAAGCTTTTTACTGTAAGTTATTTACTGTGTTGTCACTCCTCTGCAAACATGGGTTGTGGGAATTCTCGTTTTATTTTGAAGAAGGGTTGTATTAGAATGGAACAATACATACTTTTTCCTGTGAGTCACTAAAATCGCTATTAGAAGCTTATCTTCTGAGCTACTACTTTGCTCAGTCTTGTAGGAGACAGACTCGATTCTTAATCTTGTCTTCCTGCTGACAGGAACAGGGAGTGCACAAAACTAAGCAATTTCTTGTAAGGAAGAAGGGAATGGCACCATTACTTAGGGTTACTCAAGAGAAGTTCCCTCCCGAAGATGGCAACCATGCCTGGTGGAGCAAGGGCGGGAACCAGCTGTGTTCTTACGTACTGCCAGGTGCATAAGAAGATAACCTTTATCTCCTGAAATATCTTTTCCAAAATTAGTTTGGATATACTGTGTCTTACACAATTTTATTATTTCACTGGAAATAATTTCACCACCAATATGCCTTATCCAAGACTATGAGCAACTCCACATTTGTCACTGGTGCTACACATGAAACATCCAGCAACAAGCCTGCCCTTCAGGCAATAAGAAACACACACATACACATATGATATATCAGTACATTTCTTGCAGGGAGCAGGGGTGGGGTGAGGTGTGAGGGTCTCCCTTTAAGAGGAAGACATCACCACTGAAAACAGAACAGAAAAAAAAACCTAATACTGTGAGATGAAAAATTTACTTCTCTGCAAACAAATTGACTATAAACCTAAATAAAAAAATTATCCCAAACTGCACCTTTTAGAAGTCTAACACTCAATCATCAGGATGACAAAGACTGGCATTTAAAAGTGCTGTTAACCATCAACCTTGAGTAACAAGACTATTATGTTTGCCCTTAAGTACTGACAGTGGAGCAGAACCTCTGCACTTTTGTACCTTGGACATCTGTTCTTGAAAGAGAATTTAAAATTATCTTGAGAACTAGTAAAGTGCAATAGATTATTTCATGTGTTTAAGTTACCACTTCAATTACAGTATCTCCATGCAGCGGAAACAAAGTGTGGTAAGTGGCCAGGTGCCTACCACCATGAATGACACCTGGCTACCCCAGTCCAGCTCCTAAAGAACAGTTTGCAGAGCAAGGAAGAGATCTCACAGCTTTATCAAAACTGGATCATGTCAGTGCAGTCTCACCACGATGGCCTGAACTGATACAACACAACAATCGATCAACCACTCATGACCTGAGGCTTGCACAGGGGCTTAAGAAGACATTTTCTGCTGTGCCAGTTTCCTTGGTAACAAAACTTCCAAGTTTTCAGCGTGGCCAAATGGCGTTTTCCTCATCATTAAGCCCAGTGACGGCTTCCACACGCTGACTCACCCTGGTGTGCTATCCGAAGGGGCAGGAGTGGAACGGGAGCACAGCTGGAACTCTCCGAGAGAAAGCCGCTTTTAACTCTTTACCCCACAGCCAGTGAGGGGAAACACCCTTCCCACACGGGCAGCTGCGGCCACTCCTTCACAGGGAGACACAAACGCAAAGCAAAGCCTCGTACGAGATACTCAGCTTTAGAGTGAAAAACCATACAGCCGGGCCGGGTCGTTGAAGAGCCGAGGGTCAGCGTACACAGGATTCACCACAGTATTTGCAAACAACCCGTTTTCCTGCCCGCACGGACAAGCGCATCTCTCCCCGCCCGCCCGGGAGACCGAGCCGTCCGAACCGCCCGGCTGAAGGCAGACGCCGCTGCCCTAAGGAGAGACGAGCCCGCCGCGCCCCCTCCTGGCGGCGCCGCTCGGCCGTCAGCCGCCATTTGCCTTCTCGAGCGCAGCTGGAACTGCTGCCTTTCGGCTAAGACGTTATTTCACCTCCCGTTTCGCACCGAGTTTCCTCTTCACAAGGCACCAGCGGCAGCCGCGACTTTTCCCGTGTTATTTCTGGCAGGCGTTTAGTCCCTCAGGTATTCTATATGCCAGTGGTGATGGGGAAACATGGTAGGGAAGTGATACCCGTATCAGAAGTACCACATTTAACAACACAATAAATACCTTGCTCCTCACAGGGAAGCCAAAGCAGTCAGTCAGAGCAAGTGACTGAGAGCGTGTCAGCCTGCCACGGAAACACGCTGCAAGTGCCACATGGAAGCCCTGGCTCTGTGACTGCAGGCCATAGCATTTTGAAGCAGGGCACACAAAATGGCTTCCTCAGGAATGTGGCAGGTACGTCGTTCACCTGCACAGGAGAGGGGCATGCTGCAGCCTCGTTGCCACTCAGTACCGTTAAAACATTCCTGTTACAACTTAAAATGTTATCCGCTGCTTAAATACTAAGTGTGTCACTCCTCTTCAGCCATTTCTGTCCAGTCATTCCCTTCAAAACAAAAAGGCATTGAGATACTCCTACTTCCAATAGTTCTGATGTAGAGAAAGCCTGAATCAGATTGAATTAAACTAAGCCTCAATGTGATTGAAAGCCAGAAGTTACAGCAGGGGAATAAAGATTATTTTAAAAAGTGAACTGTAAGTTTAAAATAGAAAATAAATTCAGATAAGCCTAAAAGTGATGACATTGAGTAGAGATTTAAGGAAATCAATGAGCTTAATAATCAATGATGTTTTAAGTCCAATGCATGTTTTCACACATCCTGTTTTTACTTTATTATCCCAATGAAAATCATGCTGTGTTAACAAATAAAAATGAATTTCCCAGTGCGAACACAAAGGAAATGCAGGAAGTTACCAATTCCTTTGAAATTCTAACTCTCTTTACCCTCACATAGAATTCAAATATAGAATTATTAATCAAATAGGCACATCAATGAATATGAAGTTAGGTTACTATAATAACTAATTTACGACAACAGGAAGACTATTCGCTAAAAAAGCTCACAAAACAGTCCATGCTTTGGCTATCACAGTTTTGCCTGATATTCACATAAGCTGAAGTGTCTGTACTTTCTTCATGTTTCATGTGATACAAAGCAGCAGAAGGGGACTGCACTTTTCACTGCACAGTTGAAACTGGTGCTCATGGTTCACGTAAGTCAAGCTTGGGAAGGCTACTCAGCAGAGAAAGCTCATTTTCTGCTCAGAACATCTAAGATGATAAAGGGATCTAATAAATGTCCTGGCTATGTCAAAAATATTTTTAAAATAAGTTAGGATAGGACAAAATATACAAATGAGAATTTCAGACAAACAGTAAAATTTCTCCTTGCAGGGAATGTTGTATGAAGAAAATCTGTTCAACCATTTCTGCAGGTGAGCTTGAAATATTGTGTATTTCTGATGTCCTGTAAGAATGCAGACAAGCAAGGCCTCATTCCTAGCTCAGTACAACTTCAAAAGGTAGTAATGCAGTTATAAAAGTGTTGAACCACTAAACCATCAGTTTTTTGTTTGTTTGTTTTTGTTTTTTTTTGTTACAAGTAATTAGAAGAACTTGGAAACAGGTAGGGGGGAAAGGGGGACATCACTGATGTTGAAAACTCGAGCAAGTTCTTCTCAGATCATGATACATGAGTATCTATAGTACGTATACCATTTCTCTAGTGTCTCAACGGGAAGATGCATGTTTCTGTAAACAATCCAACTGCTAATTTTACATGTAATTGCTGCAAAAAAAGTCTACTTCCTAAAGTGATAGTTTAGTACCTTCTAAATTCTACTATTACTACTAAACAGCAATTAACTCTTAGAGGTTGATAGCGTCATCCATTTTTACAGCAATAAATACTAATACTGTTTTTATTCTGTACTGTTCCTTCCTCTGATCAACATCTGATTATGAAGTAAAAAGCACGTTATACATTTATCAAAATTAGGGATATGATAAAATGAAAACACTTGGTAGATAAAGGTTGTGATGATGAGTTTTATGACAATTTAAACTGATTAATTTAGCTCAGTGTTTATTCAGCTATGCTGTTACTTATTGTTGGAGTCATTTTTAAAATTCTCTAAGGAGAATGAAATAATTTGACCCCAAAAGACGAACATTCTATAGAAAGACACTTTCAACATTAAAAATAATTATTCTTAAAACATATTTTGATTATCATCTTACAACTGTAACTGCACATAACGGAAAAAAAGTAACATCACCTTTCTAAGTCTGTTACCTACATGCAACAGCAAATGGCTTCCCATTTGTAATGTTTCTCTCTTCTCAAGAAATAGCTTTAAAAGTTTAACCAAACTCATTAAAATGTTTCTATCAAACACTTACTTAAAAAGCTACAGCCAACTAAAAGGGTACTTGTTCAGAGGAAGAGCTTGTTTGGTTTGCTGTTTCTAAACAAACTATAAAAGAATCCATTTGGCAAAAAAAGCCCAACAAAACAACCCAAAACACCTTTCTAGAGGTTCAGCAGACACCTGCATATCAGCATCAATATAACTGCATGCCTGCTAGGATTAGTTCATACTATTTAACTTAAACTGCTTTGAACTCTTTGTATTCAGGACTAACAGTAAATAAGCACAGTGGTTGGATTACAAGAGAAATTAAGACCACCAGCAAGAATACTCCTCTCCCTCAAAGCGTTTTCCCTGCCCCACCCAATAAGCCTTTTATATTCCCTGTTCCTCTTTCTGAAACATTTACCAAGGCTAAGTTAAATATCTATCTCTCCAGTTCAGATTTTAGCAGCTTTTAATATTCATTCCTTAATGCAGTGTCAGTGTGCTCACCTTTTGCTCTACAGAGTGGTATTGATTTGCAGTAAGCAGCAGAGAAATCCCTAGAAACTCCTCCGTAATTTATTGTAGCTCTAAAGCTTTTCACTGCAGTCAGTAGACTACCTAATAACCCAGTCAAAATGAAGACCAACATCTTCTATGACAGACAACTGTGGGGAAGGTGGCATGAATTAGAGAGTATGGAAATAAACACCTTAAACAAACCACCTCAGTGGGAGACTGGCATTGTCTGTCTGCCAATGAACTGCACACAAGATGCTTAGAGAAGCCCCGTAACAAAGAAAGAGCTGCATATTTTTCTAGGGTTCCCATGTCAGCACCACCCCTGATGCCAGAAACATTAATAACTTTTCTTCTGCTTTTCTTCTTTCTGGGGAGGGGAAGGGAGTTGAAATCAAAACAAAGTATCTAAAGAAGATTCATTTTACTGCTAGTTGAAATTTGTCCATGCCAAGTACTGATGTAAAATGCTGGGGTTGAAGCTTTCTTGTTTTTGTTTTGAAAGGGTAAGAAGAGTCCTACAATTTGGCTGACCTGTAAAAAACTTCAGAGAATCCTTACTAAAGGCTCTCCACTGCATCAGCTCTGAAGCCAAGCTTGCCGAACTGATGAAATAATTAGCCTTGCTTAAATCTTTTCCTAATTAGGTCTAACTTCTTTACGTATTTGGAAAATACTTTACTAAATTCAATAACAAAAAATGTACCAGACTGACAGCTGTCAAAAAAATGCCCTCTGTATTACCTTGATAAGCAGAATTCCAGTATGAACAGAGAAAATACAAATTTTTCTATTGTTATATCACTGGGATAACCACTTTCCAGCTTCCAAATCTGGAAGGCATGTACTGGCACATCATTCCAGTAAAGGATGAGTCCCAAATACTTCAACAACCCATTGCTATCTGACTTCAACAGAAAGAACCCTGGTAGAACGGGCTGCACAAGGCAAGCACAGGAAGGTACAACATGCTTTAACATCCCTCAGTCTAAATCATCAGTGGACTAGAATAGAGGTGAATGACAGGAAGCAGACTACACTAGTCATGATGCAGCCTGAGGTAGTGTCTGCTGGAAAGACAATAGTCCATTCTCCATGTCCATGCAATAAATGGCCTTCTCTCTGCAACTACCAGCTAAGATTATAAATCAGTATGTTTCACAATATTAAAAGCCACTCCAGCTGCAAAGGAACCAAGACCATAAATTCTTTTCAATGCACCTTTGAACAGCATCAGGCAGTAGCGAGGCTTTCCTGAAAACAGCTAGACAGCTGTAAAATAGCTGCTTCAAATTTAGTTTCTCTCACAGGAGATAGAAAAGATCTGTATGAACTGTTTAATTAACAGATCAAGCCAGCAAGACCCATGAGGAGAAAATTCAGCTCTTAAACAAAAGGTTTTAATTCTGTTTCTTGAAAAGATTTCATTTTATATTCTATGTGGCATTTCTGAATTAAGACAAAAACCTGGTTTGAAGAACATCTCCAAGTCTCTTCTCCTCATTGCTATTAATGCATGTGAAGTTAGCAGTGGGGATACAGTTTGAGGTATTTTTCAAAAGGATCAGTACACTAACCAGAGGTCTTCTGGGGAATCCACACACAAGCTCTTTCTCACACAGACATGAAAAAGGTCATTGCTAATCAGTTTCTTTTCTCATATAAAGTCAGATGGCTCTTAATCTCCAGCTGATCACTTAATTTACCAGAAAGGAAAGGAACTACTTTTTAGCAATTCAACAGCAGCTGTAGTTCCCCTCATGTGTTTCCTATGCAAATTCCACCTCTGCTGTACAGTAGACCCGGTTATTTAAGAGCAAGTTTAGAGTAAAAAGGGAAAGGAACATCATAGTATCTGCCATGACCATTAAAGCATCCTTGAATTCTCTGGCTAACAATGATTAATAGCTGCAATTATTGCTCAGTGCTTTCACTGAGATGTCAACTCTGAATGTGAGAAGAGCATGTTATGAAAACTGAATGGATGTTATCAGTAAAAAAAACGTAATTACTTTTCTTTAAGTCTTATGCTCAACATGAATCAAGAAAGGAGCCTACTAGCTAGCACAACATCTGGAATAGTAGACTTGGAGACAGTAACAAGCTATGCCATGTACTTCTAAGACAGGACACCTGAGAAAAGATGCAAGAGTTTCATGGACTCTGGTGAACAGATTAGGAAATGACAGAATATTATATCATTCTCTGCATTTTACAGCAAGTCTGGACACAGTCCTGGTCTCCAGCGTAACCAAGACATTCTAAATCTTTTCTGTCCAGGTATAAGATTTTCATGTAACAAGAATCAGCTTCATTCCTCCAGATATAAAGCAAAGATGAAATAGAACTGTCATGAGGCAACTGGAAAAATACTGCACACAAAGTATTAGTTCATAAATAATAGAGTGAATGTTCTACACTGGCTAGGATCAAAGGCTACAAGTTCCGTTTCCAGCTCAGCCACAGACTGCTTAACACCACACCTCAACCCTTCTTCTGTTTGCTGTGAGATACAGTGAGATTCCTTATGCTACATTACATTTGCTGGTATAGCTAAGTATTTATAATGAGATATGGAGCATAACTGTACTTAAAAATCTTGCCATAAACACTTTTCACGGTTTCAACAACAACAAAATGCCATTTGCCTCTATTATTACCAGCAGTATTAAGACAGTCATACTTTACAATGTACCACTGTAAATAAAGACACAAAGAACTCAAGCTGTAAAGTACAACACTGAGGGGAAAATGCAAGAGATTCTGTCTTGTCAACATATATAACCTTTTCACTGCCTGTATGCAAACATTCAATGATCTACAAGTGCTTGGAGCCACCAAAACAGAGTGGTCGAGGTGGGTGGGGAGGATAACACTCAAACCCACCACTACCACCCTGAAAATCAAAAAGAAGCACTCAGTTTGAGTTCAGTGTCATGTTCCTGGCAAAATGTCTGCTGAAGCACTACAGAGATTTTTATGGGCCTAGAGGAGACACTAAAGAAATACAAACAAATCAATGAATACCAGCATTGAGAGATAAACAGTTTCAAATGCTTCATAGTACTAGAATCCCTTTGCAGCCAGATTCAGTGCCAAGATGAAGACTTGGAAGGCTTCTGTCAGGCTATTTCCAATTACAGTGGTTTATGAAAACACAGGGGATACAGTACGCCTTGATGAGAAAAACCAGTGTGTATATAAGCTCATCATCCTTGAGCAGAAAGCACTGAGGTAAGTACTAGTTGTTATGGATACATCTGCATAAGTAATGGAAGTTATTGCATCTAACCTTCAGTTTTCATTTATTTCGTACTGGAGGGTGTGGGTGCGTGCACAGAGGTTTATGTTACAAATGTCTATCTGCCACAAAATATTGAAGTGTTCTTACATCGTATGGCTGAAAAAATGCCTTCGAGGAATGAGTTTAATGTAAACCCAGAGGAATCAAGTAGGATGATGCTTAGAAGCCTTTAGAAGACCTTGAAAAATGCACTGCTAATTGTTCTTTAATCAATTTGTGTATTGTTCAGAGGTTTACAAACTATTCATTGATACGCAATAGATATAAGCTGCTTCGAACTGAGTACACACAATTAACTGTGACTAGTTTGCATGACAGAACAGATCCACAATTCATTTGCGTGTTCTTTGTGTCAACCAGCCTCTTATGCTAAGAGCTGTTTTTCTGGTTGCTGGTGCTATACTGGGGGGAAAAAAACTCCCAACCATTACTGATGACCTCATGGTTACTAAACGACACACACAACCTAGAAATACTATCATATTCTATATGTTCTCCTTTGTCTGTGTAAAAGAGGAAAGATTCTAAGCGCCAGAAGAGCCAATTATAAGAAAAAAAACTCTGAATCAGTTTTGGTATGGATACCTGTTAATATAAGATACACATCTGTCCTGGGTTCAGCAGTAGCAGTCTTTTTTTTCTCAGTCGTAGTAGCTGGTGCAGTGCTGTGGTTTTGACTTTTGGCCTGGGAACAGCACTGATAACACTGATGTTTTTAGTTGTTGCTCAGTAATGTTTAGTCTGACCAAGGACTTTCTGAGTCTCATGCTGTGCAGGGAGAAAGCAGAGACAAGACACCTGACCCAAACTAGCCAAAGAGGCATTCCATACCACAGCACGTCATGTGCAGCATGTAAACTGAGAGTTACCCAGGAGGGCTAGTTCACTGCTGGGTTGGGCTGGGTATCGGTTAGCGGGTGGTATTGTATTCTCTTCCCTTGTTATTTCCCTTATCATTATTATTACTGGTGGTAGCAGCAGTGGTTTTGTGTTATATGTTAGTTACTGGACTGTTCTTATCTCGAACAGTGGGAGTTACATTCTTTCAATTCTCCTCCCCAACCCTCCGGGAGCCAGGGGAAGAAAGGGTGGGGGGTGGAGGGGAGTGAACTGCGTGGCTGACTTGCTGACAGGGTTTAAACCATGACAACATCTGAAACCAGGTGTGTGGTTTTGTTGTTTGTGGTTGTGGTGTTTGGTTTGTGGAAGGTTGTGGGGTTTCTTTTTGTTTGCTTGCTTGTTTTTTTTGTGTATGTGTTTTTTTTTGGGGGGGTGGTTGGGGTTTTCTGCTGTTTTCCTGGAGGAGTTGCTTGTTTGTTTTTTGAAGTAAGTTTTAATTTCCGTAAGAAAACTCATAGCTGTTAGTAAGAGACAGTCTCTGTTCTGTGAGGTAAATCAGCTCCTGAAAAAGCTGGAGGAAACCCCAGTTTGCCAGATCTGGAAATCAGTCAAGTGAAAATTCTGGATTCCCAGATTTTTATCCCAGTGACGCCAACTTAACAAGTTTGATATATCAAGACTATGTACAGAGAGTTTGGAAGCTATGGACCTACAAAACTCAAAGCTCGTGATTTGAAAAGCACTACATTAAATTAAAACCTTAGCCTGTTTCCTTGGACCTCCATCCTCATTGAAACCCAGGATTGAAATACTTTTCCTCTTGTCTCCTTGCTTGTCAGCAGTCCATAAAGGTAGTTTGTGCTTATATGCTTATGCTGGTCAAATGAAAACAGAGAAACAAGAGAGAAAGCCTTTCAGTTCCCTCATCTTGGAGCCCAAGAGACTCCAGCAGCCTATAAAGCTGTTTCACAAACAGCCTTTCACAGACTCCAAGAATTTTTAGGTACTTTTGCTTCTTTATAATCTCTTCACAAAGATCTACTAGGCTAAAGCAATGAACAATTTTCAGAGACCTGTAACCTGGGCAAATTTGAAGTTTTCATTAAAAAAAAAAAAGTCTTCTTTGTCCTCTGTTAAATTCTAAAACTTGCTCCAAAACCAGCAATACAGATCATCTGAATGATAGGGGGATCCTTATCTTTCAACACTTTTTTTCCTTTATTTTCTTTAAAAATCACACAGAACTTTTTATTTAAAATTACAAACAAAGTAAGTATCCAAACACAGAACAGACATGGAAACAGAAACACCAGTCCAAATGGTTTAGATGTGGAAAGGGTAGAATTAAAAACATTTTCGAATGAGAAAATTGAAGTTCATTGAGAGGTCTTGCCACAATGTCTTTACAGATCTCAGGTGGATCAGTGTTTAAAAAGTTACTAGCTGAACAGGTACAGAAGAAAGAACTATCATAAACAAATAGCCTTACTGACAAAACAAGAGCATCTTAACCACATGAACACGGAAGAAGATACTATCTAGCTGAACCTTTCTTTCTTCTGCTCTTCTAAGTACTTCTTTAACCCCACTCCTTTGAAATAAACCAGCAGATTATTTGAAAAAATAACCTGCCAGGAAACTTTACACCTTACCTATTTAACAGAAGCCAATCTCTGAAAGGGAAAACTAAACCCTTCCCAGTTCAGAATTTTGCAGCCTTTGGCACCATCAACATTTATTTCTTGTTCTAGTTTTCCAGATTTCCTTTAATGTTTTGATTGCTCTGTTTTCTTTTTTTTGCAAGATCCATAATTTCAGCTACCTCCATGCACACCATCTGAAACATTCTTTGAAGTACAGAGTTTACAAAGGGAATCAGTGAAGACGAAATGAACAGCAAGTTCTTAGATATATGTGATTTCTGCTCTCAGCTGATGGTTATTTTGTCTTCACAACCAGCTGCACTACTACTTCTGCAATATCAGTATCAATTCAACTCCTTTTAAAAACAGCTGGACTCGTATTAAAGCTTTAATAAGGTTCCCAAATAATCTGCCACAGAATAGAATTTACCATCATCCACCTATATACGGGACGGATGACTGAAATTAAAGTAATAAAAGAAAATGGGGGAGGGAAGGAAGAATGGAATAGACTAATACGGAAGTAGTATTTTGAATAGGATTTTTGGTTACATGTAGAGATTTAGCTAGGAACTATATTATATCTCTAATTCCAAAATCACGGCACATTTGTTTTTTTGCAAAAATCACTGCTTCAGTTAAAAAAATAATGCTTTTAACAGTTATTTGGATACTCTGACCACACACATACACAAAAACCTTTTTAAAGAAGTCCTTAAAAAAGCATATACTCCTAAAACTAGTTCAAGAGCATCAAGACATTTTAAGCTAGGAATGTCAGCCTACTGAAACAAAACAGAACTGCCGAAAAACACTAGTCCCAGAAGACTGTTGCACCTTCCAGGTGGCAGTAAATTCTTAAACTCTCATTATGGTGAGTAACATGGAGGTTCTCCCATGTTCTCAGCAATATCTAGACGTAAGGAAATTTTCACTCCATTGGACAAGCAGCAGTATTTCTTCTCCCCTGCCCCAAGTCACATATTCCCAACTATTTCTGTGAGAACTCCCAGTTTCAGGAATTGGTACATTCAGTGATTGCTGCAGTCTTGCTACAACTGGAACTTTACATATCTGATGAGCTACTGGCATTTGGCTCAAGAGTTCAACCAGAAAACACTGCTGTACATGAGAACTGCTATAACTCTTCTTTATTTTACCCATTCTAATGTGCCTCTCTTTGTCTCTCTCCCTTTCTCCCCCCTCCAACCTCTTATGGCAGCTGTGCAGCAGTTATTTTTTAACTTCAGGGGAAATCTGGAAATCTGAAGACCAACAAAAAATGACCTACAATAACAAAATTCAAGTCTGTGTCTGACCTGCCAAATGCACAGGTACTTTCACCAAAAGACATGCCATCTATTTGAACTCTCAAACGCTGCCAGGACAAAAAGCAGCTTGCCTGTTCAGATGAGCAACCAATCTCTTGAGACTTCAGAGATAAACCAGACAAAATGCTGGACAGGAACAAAAGGTACAGTAATAGTGCAAGAGCTGGAGCCGTGGATAAGAAGACAAGCAGGGGGAGGAAAAGTCTGAATTTAGTAATTCTGCAAAGCCAAATTTAACTCATAAAAGTAAACCATTTAAAGCTGAGCATAAAATTTTATCCTTCATTCCCTGTGACTTCTGGAAATCACAGAGTACCTCATACTAACTTTAAACTGCAGAACGTATTGTGGAAAAACTGTTCTAAATTTGATACTTTCCCCATCACAGGTCTGGAAAGAATGTAACTATGCAAATTCAATTTACAGCATGCTATAGATAGGGATACATTTCTACATGTCACACTGAAAACTGTCTCAGCCTTTGTTGCTGTTTCCTGCCTAGGGTGTGAGAGAGTAAGCAATACTACCCAAAACCAAAATGAACTCAGAAGTAAGAAAGGATCAGATATTTACAAAACAATCTCCCAGATATTCTAGACAGCTATTAAGATTGATTTGTTTTATATGCTATAGCCTCTGGCATAAGCTTAAAAGAACAAATGGCTTGATCCTGCAACCCTTCTTCACACAGCTTAATCTTACTGCCTTTGAGGAGTAACATACATGATAACAGGATAAACAGTGGAAGCCCTGAGATCAAATAACTCAGACAGACAGATACCAAAGTGAAAATGGTATGAGAAGAACTGATTCTAACTGATTAAGAAGTAGGTGTAATTAGGACCAAAGACATTTGTTTTTAGAATTCTTGTGATGCATTACATTCAGCATTTGGGCTGTCAGGCCATGATGACAGCACTGGCAGCAGAACACAGAAGATGAAGTTAGAGAACACTCTTATCAGATGCTCCCACTCTTTGAAATTATCATGGCAGCAGTGGCAGACAGACTCGGGCTGCCCTGTGAAATTGGGTGCTGCCTTCTACAAGCTGCAAGCCAGGCAGCACTGTAGCATATTGGTAACAGCATAGTAAAAGTTCAGCTTTTGAAATAGCT